TTTCATGTGTTCTTTGTGAATATTTTTTTTTTTTTATATTTTAATTTGATTTGGGCCTACAAACTTTAGTGTGCAACTTGGTAGGCCTTATGAGTTGTATTCGGTTTTTTTAGTTTTTTATAATATGGTAGGCCATAAATCAAGTATTTAATAGGCTAACAGGTCAGTATAGGTTCCAAATATTTTACATAGGTTTAGGCTATCAAAGCAACTTGGCCCATTTATACCTTTAGCCGTGACCTGCGAAAAATATTAACATAGAGGGACAACAAGCTTCTCAATTGAAAAGAAACATGGAATAATTAGCGACAAATGTCTAAAATCATTTAAATGACATTGGATCCACATAAATCATTTAATTAGTGTTTAGATATTTTAAAAATTTTAAAAATACAAAAAAGAAGAAGTTGTTAATGGATATGTATAAGAAATTTTCATACTCCATATATATACATATATCTTCATTGATTTTTCTCTTTAACAGTTTCCACTAATTAATAACCAAAATTCACATTCTTGTTGTGAAATAAAATACAAAAATACCAATAAACAATTCAATTCCATTACCAATAGCAACTGTAGCTCTACATTAAAATAACTTTTTTTTAAAAGGTAAACGTAAAACAACACTCCATTTTTTTAAAAGAAATAAAATCAATAACTACAACCACACAAAAAAAAGTTGTTAATAAAATAAAGGGGGCGTGAATTTCACTCATGTTAGAAACACCCAATAAACAATTATGGTCAGCAAAGACAAAGAATTTCACTTTTATAAGGTTTGAAACTATAAATCAATTTTTTTCGCCAACGGACAATATAATTATCAATGCATATTCCAAGAACAGGTATCAGTAAAATGTTGAAGAAAGGAACGAAACTTCGTGCCTTGTCACAGAATGACTGGGTTCCGGGTGGTGAGTGCGAATAAGAAAAAAGTTAGAAGAAAACCTCAATTGGAAAAAGATGAAAGAAGAAGATATTAAGAAGAAAGAAATATGTTATCTAGTCGTACATGAAAAACAGCTTCATATCTTCATCTGGTACCACTGTTACAATTTTAGCTAGGGTCCAATTATAATTACTTATATAATTATATACACGAAGGAAAGTTCTCACATTTGGGAATTAGGTTTTTGACTATTCTTTGTGTGCAATAACCCAAAACACAATAGTTCAATGGACCTTCATATTCCATAATTATAATCCGTTTAGTTTTTAACACTGTCTTACCGGTAAAACATAGTTATAACATGAAAAATAATTTTTTTTTCTCTCTTCACGTCAGCTGAAGTGATTGAGGAAATAGAAAAAGAAAATATTGTTTCATATTATAACTATGTTTTACAGGTAAGATATAGTGTCAAAAATTAAAAGGATACAACTTTGTGTACTTTAAAAGGACAAACCTTTTCTCCTACTTTTAAATGTGTTTAGGGGTGTTAACGGGCCGAGCCGAGCTTTGATCTTAACGAGCCAAGCCTGTATTTAAACGTGTCAGACTGGCCTTAGCCTATTACCTGTTACAAATATAATATTGGCCTGTGGCCTGGTTCGTTTACAAAAAATAAAAGCTTGTCTTAAGCCTGTGGCCTGGTTTATTTATTAAAAATAAAAACCTTACTTTCCAATTTGCAGCAGTATTTAACCCATTAATCATGCACTTATATGTATTTTTAAAAAAAAATAATAGTTGTTTCTTTTATGATAAAAAAACATATTAGTATTAAAAAGTCAAATTAACAACAGAGCACCTTTGCTTTAAGTTTTGCTTTTTCTTAATTTTCTTCCACGTTTGAACCCCACCATCAACTTTAGTTTCTTTTTTTTTGTCATTTTTAATCTTTCTTTTCCTATATCTTATATTTTCATCTTCATGAATCATATCTCTTGTTCACGGAGATACAAAGTAGATCTCCCATCTCGCCACCTAGCATACCACGTCGTCCCTTTCCTGACTGCGCTGTCGACGCCCTGCTGCAGCTGCAAGTAGATCGCCGTCCACGCCACTGCTGCAGCTGCAAGTATCTTGGTGAGTTGGTGGTTCGCATGATTCATGTCGGTCCAGGGAAGAAGAAGATGGTGGCCTTGTAGATCTGCGTTTGTTGGAGACGATTATTTGGATCGATTTGGGAGAACTTGGTTGAGGAGAGAGAGCGTGCAGAGAAGAAGTTTTTTTTGGATACAGAAAAGTTTAGGTGGGGTAGGGTGGCGCAGAGAGTAAGTTTGAAGTAGATGATGGACTTTGTCAACATGGTGAAATAATTAATATAAAAAAAGAATATTATGACGGGCCAGCCTCCAGGCTCCAAGGCCGGGCTCACACATAGAAGTCTGAGACTTTTTAAATAAAAAGGCTATTAGTTGAGTTCAAGTTTGTATCCAATTAATAAAATAGACGGGCCGGGTCAGGCCGAAGCAGGCCGGGCCTAAGGCCCCTGACGGGCCCCTAGCCTTTTTATCACCCCTATACGTGTTTATTTGGTTTAATTGAGTCCATATTTTGAAATAGATTAAGTTTAGAAGTCTTTCTTTTTTAAAATAATAAGAGTAAGAATATATAACATAACTGATTAGAATAAAGCAGAAAAAAAAATATACAGGATAAAAAATAAAAAAAGGTAAAACACAAAAATAACCATACTATACATGTTTCTTATTATTTGTTTGCATTTAGATGGTTTGTTGTTACTTTGTATTGAGTATTTGATTTTCTATTTAGGTGGTACCAAATTATAATTTTTACCTTAATTATAATAAGTAAAAATAAAACAAACAGGTGTCAAGGCACTTGCTGGATTGGATGTGGCTACCCACTGATTAGGTTTGCATTGCTTTCTTTCTATCTTTCTTCTTTTTTTTCACTCTTTTAACTTGAAGAAACTTCCATGCACCTTATTACATGGAACTTGTTAACAGATAAGCTTCTAAAGTCGTGATTAATAAATTGCTCCCGGAAGAGTAAGGAAAAAATAGCTCCCAAATACCGTGTTATGTTTTGGTCCAATGCTTTCTAACTTTAACTTTACAATGTTTAAAACACTCAATTCAGAGATTTCAAAGTGTTTCATCATGCTGGATCAAGGTTGTCTGCTCGATCTATGGAATAGCGGTATCTGTGGGGGAGACAGTCACAAATGATGGCAGCGTAGAAACAAGGGGCTAGAAATCAGAGAGGGTATGTGTGTGCACAACAATAGGGGTTAGGGTTTCAAAAGAAGATACGTGTGAGACTTAAAGCTCGTAATTTATTTAAAAAAAAAAAAAAAAGCTCGTAATTTGGGTCGACACAATACGACACGAATTTGAAAACCTTCCACACGAACACAACTCTCTTATTTTGCTAGTCGACACGACATGAATAGATTGCAATCTTATAATGTATTGCTTATTATATGGCTTGACACAACACGACACGACATCAATAGCCTATCAACCACAAATTGTGTTACTTATTATGCGACACGATACGATAAGACACAAAAAAATCTATTTACGACACGGCGCAACATAAATAACCTATAAGAAAATTAATATGGGTCAATTTTGGGTTCACGAGTTGACACTCGACAAGACACAAATTTTTTCAGGTCAAGTTTTGCTTACCAAACACGACACGAATTTGAAAATAGGTAAACCCAAACATGAATTTTTCGTGTAGTGTTCATGTCGTGTTAGAGGGTCGTGTTGAAAATTATCACTCTTACTAAGATTTAACCTTTTATTTGTAGAAAGCTTACCTAATATTGGATGGGAGGCTCGCATGCCCATTAAGTGAGTCCAGAATAGTTACCCCCAACTCGATAGTCCAAGAATGATACCAGGTGATGACAGAACATAGAGACTAGAAGCCAAAGAGGATGTGTGTGTGTGTGTGCAAAGTGACCAAATAGGGGTTGGGGTTTCAAGAGAGCATATCTCTAACCGTAAGGTTTAACACAGTATTTTAAAACTCGGGCCAGTCATTGACTCGGTCGAGATACTGAGTCGGTGGTTCAATCGGGTTCACCTAGATTTCAAAATAATATATAATAAATATTAAATATGAACATTATGTCCAACAAATAAAAGTGGTCTATTGGTAAGCCTTTCGATCCTCAAACAAGGGGACTCAAGTTTGAATCTCGAAAACCAATTCAACATCGATTGAACCCAGTTTTGGTTCGGTTCAAACCGGGTTAATCGGTTCGAGTGCATAACTGATCGGATGACCAGTTCAAACCGATAAGGGCACCAAGTTACTAAAATCTAAGTCGATCCGACCGGTCCGAATCGGATTTTAAAATAATAGTTTAACCCTTTATTTATAAAGGAATTTACCTAACATAGAATAAAACCCATTATTCAAAGTTGATGAGCCCATTAAGTGGATCCGGAACACAAACCAATGCATGTCCCTCGATAGACCGATTCGGTCACATGCTTTTTTGTGGAATCTTAATAAGCTTTTGAAAAGAATATAAAACTTGGAGGTAATCCATGGTATAAATGGCTCAACCCATTTCGTGATTCATGATTCATATAAGCAGCAGGACACATTTATGGTTCCAATGACCATTGAGGACAGATGCACTCTTTGCCTTGTGTTTCTTTTTCATTAAGGCAAATTGCAATATTAAACATACCTAACTTGCTAATTTAATAGATAGTATTTCATCAATCAGAGCCGTTGATTTCATTTATGTCATGTCCAATGACACCACTAGGCCAAAAAGATAACTTGATGCAGACATAAGGATTAACAACTTCAGAAACAACTCAATTCTGAATTTAGCAAACAGCTGAACAAATTCAATTAAAAGAGAAGAAGAAGTTAGCATCCCTCAAAGCTTTGGACTCATCTTTATTCACAACATTATCCTATCCTCTCCATTATTAGACACCTACACTAGGCACCCCACACCCAACAACACCGACAGAGACCTATCATTGTTATGTGTATACTTTATGACCCCCCCCCCCCCCCCCCCCCCCCCCCCCCCCCCAAAAGTACAACATTTACAACCATATCTCCATCACAAGTTTATGTATCAGCATCTATTTACAACCACAAAATTTTGTGGAATGCATCAACAAACGCGTGGCCAATTCTCAACCAGCCAAGTTGCCCACCGGTGTCATGCACTTCTTTGTTCAAATTTTTTTTATGGTTTGTTTTGGCATGTGGCGATGGATAGGAACAATGTCTACTTGTTTTGTTGCATCATGATATGGTATTATGGCCTGACAATCGACACTCAACAGCATAGGAGAGACCTCAAAGTGGTAGGTGATGAGCTGGGGACAAAATAAAACAAAAAAAAGTGGTCCCAACAACTATTCCCAGCCAATCTACTAGTTGGAACCAGATAAAATTGAGAAACAAAATAATTGCAACAGTGTTTTGATCTGGTGGAGTCATGTAGTTTGTCACCATCAGAACCAATCTTAGGTGGCAACACATCTCTGGTACATGTCAGCAACCCTTGCTGCCAGGAAGGATGTTGGAAATTCCTTGTCTGGAAAGCTCAGCAACCACACTATCTATGGAAGGAGGTTTGAGACCCAAGGGCAAGGGTAGCCATGGCTTATTTATTGCCTCCTTCACAACATTGTCAACAACCTCCTCTGCCTGCATGCATACATGGTAACACAATATATCGTAAGAGTTCATGGGGAGTTTGGACTTTAAAGCATCACTGAAGTTACATTCACATGAAGGAATTTGCATGCACGGTTATGAAACATTTAGGTCAGTTAGTTAAGACTCAATAGTTTCAGGCCCGTTTCTATGCAAGTTTAATTTGTACAACCATGTGATTCAGCAATCAAAGAACGTTGATCATAATCTAGTATGCTTGATTAGACACAAGATACATGGTATTTTCATACTCTACAATGCAATTAGATGATTGGCATTTGTTATGGAATATATCCATATCCTAACTACCTATCCATGAATCCCTTAATGGATAATGATACAATTATCCTAACAGCATAAGATGATAAAGATAATGAAGATAAAACCCTTATCCCTATAAATAAGAGGTTAAGTCCTACATCAACTGGGAGATCTACACAGCCCAAGCCCAAGAGATAACCCCTATAAATAAAAGGCTAAAGACCCTCAGTTACACATACTGAACTCATCTACTACTACTGCCAATACTGTGCACACACCCACGTCTTGGCTATAAGCCTATTGCTTGTGAACAGTGATTGAGATATTGGCTATAAGCCAACCAAGATATCTGTCTATAGGATATCTCTGAGTGCATACCATACAATATAGTTTTACGGATCTCTAGGACCGAACGACATTTATAACCATGGCTGTTGTAAGATACATGCTTAGTAGAAAAGATTTGAAATATAATTCTCAATGTCAATGTACCATTTAAGCAAGTAAAAAGCATTAAGGTTTTCATGATTTTTAATCTTTTAAGTATTTTTAAGTAGAGTTACAATTTCATCACAACATGGACATCCGTTGAGCGCAAACCAGAATGTATGAACTGGCGACTTGCCAATTGGCACTATGATGAAGTAGAAAGACACTAAAAGGAAAGTATTGCATTACTGGATAATGCTCAAAGGAACTTAGTGGCATGCTAAACTTGTAATCCGCTGCATTAGCATCGCACAATGCAGGCATATTCTGCTGTTTGATGAAAAGATCTGATTAGCATCACTCTGGTAAATAATTTAAATAACTAGCAAAGGAAAATTAGGCAGGCTGGTTACTCTAATGATTAATACACAAAATAGCATAAATACAAAGTTAAGATCTTCAGTTCGCTGATACTCACCTGAGAGTAGGAAAAACAAGGAGCTTGAGGAGGTGGTAAAACCGGGCAGCCCCATGCATCTGCATGCACCTGCAACATCAAGTGATCACATGTCAAACTGCATTCATAATTTCTACACCACAAGCCAGAGAGGAGGTTGCTAATATAGAAGAAAAAATCCATATACTCCTTGAATTTTGAACAAAAATATTACCCCCGGAAATGGTTTCCAGTGCCAACTTTCTGTAGGCTGCCACAAGGGATAACCAGGAGAGCCCCAAATCTGCATGCCAGCCATTTGACTGCCAGGTTGTCCCCACATAGGATATACAGGAGCCAGAGAAGGTGTGTGATTAGAATGATATGGAGGATAGGCCATAATTGGTCTTTGAAGACAATAGCTTCTTTGCATTGAATCTCTTTGATTTGGCCATTTCCGACCTCCTTCCTTGGGCAATATTTGTCTCTTATGCATTCTATATTTCTGTTTTATAAAAAATAAAATAAAAATGTTAGTAAGTGTTACTTAAGAAGATATATGAATATCCTTTTTATTACCAGTACCAGATGAGGTGTTGAAAATAGCTGCTTACTGGTTTGGAAAAGAAAGTGATAAACTACAAACCAGTAAGGTAAATAAGGACCTGAAGATGGCTTGCCACATTATGCCTTGTCAAACCCTCCACTTTCATTAGATCCAATATTCTAGAAGGAATGGCTTGGTCAATGCCTAGTTGTTCCACTGCCTTCACAAATTTTTTGTGCATGTCAGGCGTCCAGTCTACCTGAAGACCAAAACCAAGTACCAAAATGGTGTTCAGATAATCAGAATCAGCGGATCACTTATACTACAAAGGAAGAACCTTATATAGCAACATAAACAATGTAAAAAGCAAAATAATATAGAAATATCTTAAGACCAGATTGAGGACACAGCTGGTGAAATTACAGTTCATCGAAATGATGTTGGTGAAATATTTCATAAGTTTGAGAACTATGCCATCATGTTCAGGTTTAATAATTATTTGTATGTGGATAAAAAATTTACTGCTTTGATCTCAACAATCTGCAGAAGAATTTTGCCATAAGTAGACAACATTCACAACACATTCTACTTAAAACTGATACAGAAAGAGATTATAAACTCCATTGAAAGAGTCCTTTCTAAGATTTCCGTTCAAAGACTAGTTAAGATTTGACAATTCCATTATAAAGTTTCCTTTTATCACTTCATGAATATGGAATGGAGATATGTCTGAGTTTCCTTGATTAACTCCAAGCATGCAGACACAATAAAATGGGAACATTGGCAGATTAAACAAAACTTAGGAAACATTTTTTGGTTATATGTGGCATACAGTCATAGTAATTTGTAAGCAAACAATACCAGCAAGAGGATCAGACGAACAGGAACATTGTAAGAAGTATGAATAGTCATAAAGCAGCTTACTTTCATCTTCTTCCTATTAGCTTTTATCTCACATGAATCACTATGAACACCGGCTTTATTTGAAGATTTTGTATTGCTGTCAGTGTTTCTGAGAGCCTTTCTATTTTGTGGATGTGGAGAAACCACACTCTCACCCTTAGAAGCATCAGCAAAATCCTCTTCCTCCTTAACCAGAGTATTTTCAGATTCCCTTTGTTGAGGAGTACTTTCAGCATGCAAATTTCCACATGTAGTTTCGACAGATTTAGACTCTCCATCATGTTCCCCACTTTCTTTTTCAGTTGAGCAATTAGTCTGCTCTTGGCAATCCCCATCATCCAGTAATCTTCCCCCCTGTTTCAATTGTGGGGTTGAAGGAGCTGGATATTTATCACTTCCAGGACACTGCTCATGGTCTTTATTAGTAAACCCGGATACTTTCTCTAAATCAATTGAGATTCTACTTTCATGTTGTTCATTGTCTGTTTGGAGCTGCAACATGGACACTACAGATTCTTTGAAAGGCTTTAGTGATTCAGACACACTTGCCCCAGCATTAAATGCCTGCTCAAATTCAACCACATCAGGAACTATTTTGCTCATAATATGTTAACAGTAAATGCCAGTGTAATGTCACCAATGTTTACAGACCTTGTGAACCACATGTTGCCAGATATTTCTGAGCTTGTCCTCAGAGAGTGGTTTCCTAAGGAACTCAACTGCGCCAAGCTTTAAAAAAGAAAATGGAGCAAGTAGTCAAGAGGTAGTCATCAACAATCCGAACAGAATGAAAATTTACTGTCTAATGAGTTAAAGATCATATTCCAGGTAAATATTGAATTGAAAAACCACATAAAAACTGATTTTCTTAGTGCACTAATTTTTAAGGGCAAGCTCAAAATTTGGTTTATAATTTGAAAGAATCAAAAGGATGAATTAACATAATACAGAAAAGAAAAATGGCAAAACAATGAAATAGAAGTTTGAATTTAGCTCAAAGAGTATAACAATCATATATTGACCCCCAAATAACAGGACGGCAAAGCCAAAATCTTACCGCTATACACTTCATCATGGTGTTCAGGCAATCATTGTTTGAAGTCACTACATCAAAAATTGAAAGTATCACAGGACAGAAATTTTACAGCAAGCAGAAAACATCCTTGAAGTATACTTTTTCCCGTATTTTCCATGTTGGGTTCCCTTCTAGACCTTTCATTAGTTCGGATTGGTAAAAGCTACTCAAAAAGAAGTTGTTGCATGATATAAAAACAACAGCAAGCAACAATCACAAGACAAATAAAAGAAAAAGAGAGGAAAAAAAAAAAACTTACAATTATTGCTATTACCCAAAACCTATGTATAGTTGATAGCAAAATTTGACTGGAAAGCCACAACGATGTTTCTCATTTGGAACTAATTTTGGTCCAGACTAGATAATTGACTTGTAAAGGCCATTAAAACAGAGTAAATCTTGGAGGTTTAAAGAACTAGAAGATTTTAAACCATCAAATTTGGGCTTGCTTTCAGTACTTACTAATGGTTGGCAAGTCCTTGGCATTCTCAAGAAATTTGAAACCTCCCTGGGTACTGCTTGAACTCACCTGCAATTGGGATTGATACATGTGGTTACAATAACATCATCAAAGCTGAATTGTTTTAACAACCACAAGCTTAAGGTATAGAACTTAAAAAATTCCAAGATAAGTTGCCACTTTGACAGAAGTATATTGTATTGCCTAAAGTTTGGCAGCAACTAAATCTAGTCAAGACTCTAAAGTATCCCCAGAGGTGTTCACTTCATTTTCAACAAGCATACTAGACAACATACTTTTTATGTTTCTTTTCTATTTAAATTTTACAAATTACAACTACTACATTATAATCTGTCATTTATATAGAAAATTAAAGTTCATTACCTCTACTATGGCAATGTGGAAGTCTTTGGGCCTACTTGAGATTGCTGACAAGGCTTCATTCTCATGGAAGAATGTAGAAACTGTACAGAAACACTGAAGCTTACTGAACTAGTTAATGGAAAGGGCAAGCATGTAGAGGAAACAAGAATGAGGGAGATTTGGGAGAGTGGGAGTAGAGAAAAAGAACCATTTTGACTTCAATAACAATCAAATTATGCTCAGGTTGGTCCTTAAGATATAATTTCAATTATAACTTGCTTTTATGGAAACTTTTGTTTTCCATAATAAATGCTTTTCTTCTGCATCCAAGTCAACTAAAAGCCACCGAGTGTAACAGAATAGTTTAGATTCAGTAGTTCACAAATTCAGATAACTGACAATTCTTTTATACTCAATATCTTTACAAAAGTGGGAATGCCCAAGGCCTTATAAACCCCACATTAGTTGTCCATACAACCAATGTGGGGACTCCAAGTCTCATACCTTGCAAATGGATCCTAACCAGTGTTTTAAAACTCGGACCGGTCATCGACTCGGTCGAGGTATTGGGTCACTGGGTCATTGGTTCAACCGGGTTCAACCGGATTTACTGTTCACATATTAAAAAAATATAAATATATTACTTATATTAAAAATTCACATAAGAAAACTATCAATGAGCTTCAAAAAATAAATTGGTTCTCAATGATAGCAAATATTATATACTTCTAGGCTTCTAGCTCTAGACTATATCCTAACATTGGATTAAAATTGCAATGTAAGCTAAATGCACCTTTTGTGCCTTGACATAACACAAGATAAACTAAATCATGATAACAAATGGTAGGCATGAAATATACACTAAGGAGAAAGTGTCCAACGTTGAGATGAGACCATCAGTGTTTATCCCCCCTTAACTTATTGAGATCATTATAAGATGCAACTAAATTACACAAAAGAACTGCACTAATCCAAAATACCTTCTTATAATCACTTTACTTTTTAATCAAATTTACAACAAAATATGAGCATGATTTAATTAAAGAGTTCTCAGCAACCAAAAAAAAAAGAACGGGGTCAACCGGTCTAAACCGGGTCACCAAGTCAACTGGTCCAAACCGAGCTGAATGCAGAACCAATCCAAATGGCAGCTTGAATCGCGAAACCCACTGGGTCATTGAGACCCGAGTCGACCCGGCCGGTTTTTAAAACACTGGTAATAACATTCCACCACCCGTCCAAGGGTCCAACCCAACCCCAAGGTTCCAGTTCCAAGTTCCAATCTGGAAAACATGTGCTCTAATACCATTTGATAAGAATCATGGAATGCACCACCCTAAAAGCTAGCTCAAAGAGTGAAAGTGTTCAAAGCCTTATAAACCCCACATTAATTGTCCATTCTCCAAGTCTCATACTTTGCAAATGGGTCCTAATAGAAAACTTTGGCAGCTTAATAAGCCATGCGATGAAATACCATTCATGGGAGCGAAGTTTGTGTGCTCCGGGACCAAAAAAAATTTGGTGGAACTGAGGTGAGAGAAAAAGAGAAAAGGTTGAGGAAAGAGGAGAGAGAAGAAAGGAAAAAAGAATTTGGTACAGTGTCAATTTTTTAGTGGAAGGATCACGGTGGTCCTGGACCATATTAAAAAATTCCCATTCATGGAACCATTGAGCGAAGAAAAAGGAATAGAGTATTTTTGCAAATTTTATATACAGCCTTCAGTGCAACTAAAATCTGAGACCACAATTTTGCAAATGACCATATAAGGATTCTAAAGCAATGACTCTTTGCAAGATGCCAATGTACAGAAAGATGGGGGACCAAGTGACCAACTTTACCCTCTATGTACCGTAAGTGGGATTGATAGACCAAAATTTCATGTAGATGGAGAAGTGAGACTCGTCAAAATTAGAAGGAATCCAAAATGTGTTACCATTATAGTCCATGGCCTCAAGCCTTGTTCTTATCTCAGAAGCAGAAGTGTTGTCTCCCTCAAGGAGAAGAACCTTGAGTCCCTTGGGAAAATCTTTCCATTCTTGTAAATCATTGGCAGTGCAGACCATAGCTGGCTTGGCATCGTTTCTCAGTCCCCCAAAGAAAGTAACAGATCAATATTGCCTATCAACATCCAATTCGTTCTGCAAAATCCATGAGATCACAAGCTTGATTCAGTGAGCTAGACTTCAATACAAAATTACAGGAATTGAAAAACAAAACAAGTGGAAACTCCGTTGCAAACAGAAATTTGTTTAAAATGGTAAAAAGCTTCCAAATAGCTAGCAGATAATGCAGAACACTGGCATGGCATATAAAGATTAACCCCAAAACTAGGTTCACATCAACACTGACATGACCACTAATCATCAATGATACAGCTGGTAAATCACAAAACAGATTCCCACTAGGAAGCACTTTCTATGCAAAACAAAATCAAAAGCCTTTCTTTTGTACTCTAAAGATCTCATTTACCTGGTGGCACTCTAAAGACCCAGGTAATTAAGATCTAATGAATGAGAAGAAAAAAAATACAACAAAACGGGTCAGGTAGAAATCCAAGCAATTTATAACAATGAACCCAGAAAATATGCAAGAAGCTCAAATGGTTACACATGCACGCACACTTTTTTATCCAAAAAAAATAATCTGAATTCTCCAAAATGAACACATGAACTGAGAGAGAATCAGCATGCACATAAGAAAAGTATATGAACTGGGAGAAAGAAAAAAAAAAAAGTGTTCCTGGTGAAGCCATTTTCACTACCTTGGCAGAAAAGAAAGTGGTTCTTGAGTCCAATGCTTAAAAGTTATGATCTTTATGCTGTTATTACATTGGTAATAAAGAGAAGGGGGGAAGAGAGAGGAGAAGGGAGGTTTAAATGGTGTGTTTGGAGAGTGCCTGTGGCTGTGGCTGTGACTACTGAACAGTTGCCATCAGCAGTTGCGGACCACACCACATGACATGAGAAGAACCTCTCAATGAACCCTTGTGCCGCTTCTTCTAGGGAGCGTTTGGTAAGCGGGATTTTGAGAGATTTTTGGAAAACTGAATTTTTTTTAATTTTAAATTTTCAGATATTATCATAAACTGAATGCAAAAATTATATTTTAAAAAATTGAGATTCTCGGACAAATAAAAATTTTTCTTGTACCAAACGCTCCGTAAGGTTAATATAATATTCCAACACTATCCTTGTTCCCTGTTTGCGTTGTACACTTCTCCCATATATGCTATAGCTTGAATAGCACTAATACGGAACACGACGTACGAGATATGACGTGACATAATAACATATTAATTTTAAAAAATACTGTATTTTGATAAATTAAAACATATTTTAATATTAAATAATATTTTTAATAAATATAATATTATTTATATTTAATATATATAACGGTTCATAATAAGTCATATAATTAATCAAATATTCAAATTTTATAACATAAATATAAAACAAAAGTAATTTTTCATATTTTGTGTCAAATTTCATAACAGAAAAAATTGATTTATAAATTAATTTTTTATTTTTAGTTAATAAAATAAAATTTAGACCTAAAAGAAAAATATGTCGGATGCGTGTTGAAACGTTGACTGCGTGTCAGAAAAAAATGACCGCGTGTCAAAAGCACATGTCGGAATGTGTCAGAACAATAACCGCGTATCTAAAAATATTGATTGCGTGTTAGAACATAACTTGTCAATGTGCAACACGTGTCTGACAAGCAAATTAAAAAAAAAAAAGGCCATATCGGTGCTTCTGGGTGTACAATAAATGAGTGACTCCGAGAGTTGGTTGGAGTGGTAAAGTGAATTTTGATATGGATTAATTGTGGGGTTTCTTTTCTTCAAGCTCTGGATAATTAATCTTGTAAATATATGGATTTTTTTCTCTCCCCGAGAGGTAGGATATACTAAAATTATGATTCGTCTCAAAAAAATAATTAGAATTGAAAATTTTATATTTATCCTTTCCTTTATATATACTCACAATTTTGACCTAATTTCACTATAAACACAAAATTGTTAATTACAATATTATGTAAAATTTTAACATAAGAAGTAAAATAGCTCAAGTATAAGAGAAATCTTTTATTGGTCCCGAAACACTTTTCAATAGGCCGAGGAGAGAGCGAGGAAAGAGAAAAAAAAAATTCTCCCCACATAGCACCCTCCGGATGAAAGGCGGATCACTTTAAATTTTCCCCAAGTATAGCTAAATTCGGGATTAAAGGTATGTTTACCAGTTTGCTTCTGTTGGTAATTTCTAAACCGGAGTTTTAACAATTTTTCCACTTTTTATTCCCACCCAATAATGACCAAGTATAAAAGAGAAGGTTGTAAAAATAGTGCGTACTACTACTAATATTCCTCACCTGCTTGCTTGTTTTGCACACAAAAACTGAAAAAATAAATAAAAAATTATCATTCAGGTTTCCAGAAAATTTTATGAATCTATGCTTTAAAATATATTAGTTATAGTTAAAAATTAAATAATTATTAAAATTAATTATTTTTAACACAATTTTAAAAAATAAATTTAAATCACATTATGATTGGTAGTTTAATACCTAATTATAATCATACAGTTACCAATGTTTTATTTATAAGTTTATTGAATTTTTACTCGTCTATACTGTTATCTTTTCTGATTTGTGTTAATTTATTTTCAGTTGTACCTTCATAATTTGAATTAAGCACAATTTTGTAACGTTCCTAATTACGAACTTTTCAATTTTTCCAAAAACACACTACACAAAATATGCGCTTTTAAATTATTGAATACATTTTATGTTTTTATTTATAAAAATATAATTAAAGTTTGGGGAAATGTTTGTCCTTCTTAAGGATATAATTTTGTGTCATTTTATATCCTAACCGTTGATTTTCGTCAATCAACGGTTATAATTTATTATGTCAAACTTATTAAGCAATTAGTAATTCACAATAAATTATAATTATTGATTGACAGAATGATTAAGATTTAAAATGACATAAAATTATATCCTTTAAAAAGATAAATGTTTTCCCTTTTGATTCTTACAAGAATATAATGTCACGAACCCTCAAATAATAATGTGATAATGTAAAAATAGCTACATTTCATGTTCCCAAAAATATTTACAATGAAAACTAAGCCCACATTTATTAACTATATAAGCAATGTCATGGTATTAATTAAAGAATCTAAATTAAAATAATAAACACATAAGAGTTTACTTATATGTATATGAATTAAGATACTGAATACTATTTACCAAAAAAAAATAAAAAAATTACTGAATACTTAATATATCGACAATATCATCTTAATATTACGTTTCAAAATTATTTTTGACAAAGATTAAAAAATACTTAATATATTTTTGACAAATCCTTTGCCCGATAAGAATCACAAAGATTTTCGCCTCGCTGATCTAGTTGTTGTTGAAGACAATGGGTGATATTAAAAATCACTAAGAAATTTGAACACATATATAAAGCATATGAGATTAATATTGATGAACATAGTGCAATGTATAAAATAAGGAACAGATTTATAGTATGTTGAGTAAAGAACAAAATGAACAATGTATGCAGGATAGTGTAAGAAATCAGAGTCCACAAAAAGTGTCTCCTTAAGACAATTTGCCCCGTCACTGATGCCATAGGTTGATGAACACTTGTCTCTCAAGATAGAAAAGAAAGCATCTTAATTTTGGTGGTACTACCAGTTAACAGCCCGAACGAGCACAACAAGATGCTAGAGGAATTGCACCGGAAAATGGAAGGAAGTATGCAGAACCGGATGAAGAAAAAAATTCGGCAGAGTAACAGTGCAGAAAATTGGATTATTTTTTTGGGGGTCAGGGTCTATTTATAGACACTGGCCGGACATGATAAACCGCCGTGACGGACGGCGACCAAGCAGTGTGACCGGTGACCGGTTCGGTTCGAATTTTAACTGAACGCACCAGTTCGGTTCAGAATGAAATCGAAAGGTAAGAACCGGTTTGGTTCAAAAACCGGTGGAAAGAACGTTTGGTTTCGAAAATCTGAAGGGAAGCAACATATAAGGACAGAGATATTTTTGGACAAAAAATTAATAAAATAATTTAATAAAAAACTATTTTTTATTTCACACACCAAACCGAGTCGGCCGGCCGGACAGACAGCGGCAACACGCGTGTTTGGTGAACCAAAGGCCACCTAGCCCCTCTCCCCTCCACAAAAGTGTAATGCCCCAAGGGGCAATTTAGGAGTGTGAGGTGGGAGCTTATAAACTCTCTCACCTCTTACTAGTTATCCAATGTGTGACTTCTTAAAATCCACACACCCCTTCAACTTCCCTCTTTTCTTTTCTTCCTTAAACCCACTTCTTATTCATAACCCATAGGATATATATATATATATATATATATATATATATATATATATATATTGTTTCTCAAGTTACTTGAGATAACTTTATCTCTGATTACTAAATCATAATCGTACAGAGATGGATTAATGGTGATAAAGGAAGAGAGAGAAAAAGGATGTCATAACCATTCAAAGATTAATCAATAAATATAAGGAAATAAATAAATAAAACGACATAGTTTTGGGCTGGCCAGAGATAAATATATCTCAAGCTCCTTTAGAAATATTTCCCTATATATATATATATATATATATATATATATATATATATATATATAGGGATAGGATCCTTTGACACTGGTGTCAAATTTAAAGTTTTACACCTCATCTCAGAGCCGTTAAATCAAAAGAGATCAATGGTGTCACATGCTTGCAAATCAGAGTCATTAATCTTTTTTGATCTAATAGCTCTCAGATAAGGTGTCAAACTTTACATTTGACACTGGTGTCAAAAGATCCTACCTCATATATATATCCTTTGACACTGGTGTCAAATTTAAAGTTTTACACCTCATCTTAGAGCCGTTAAATCAAAAGAGATCAATGGTGCTACATGCTTGCAAATCAGAGTCATTAATCTTTTTTGATCTAATGGCTCTCAGATAAGGTGTCAAACTTTAAATTTGACACTAGTATGAAAAGATCATACCTTATATATATATATATATATATATATATTTTTCAACAATCCCCCCATGGATAAGAATTCAATTCATCATGACTAAATGCATAAGAATATAAATGCAAAGTGTAAGTTCCTCAACGAGAAACAATTGCATCGAGATAGGTAGAGTTACCTTTGAACCTTCTCTAGTGAAACCTATCGGATATACTCGGTCAATCGGTGGTCTTGGCAACTTGAACCGTCGACCTTTAGTGTATAACTACACAATAAGAGTCACACAATTGCTTCTCTAGCATTGTTGGTCCTCATTGTTGTGCCCATTTTGGCCCTAGGACACCTGTCTGGTTCTGTGAGTGTTCTAGAGAATTGGCCATTATAAATTCTCATAGAAGCGGCCCTCACTTCACACTCACATATGTGATTCATTATGCTGTAACTCAACGTACATCATCTGAACACATCAGATTAAGATACCATTAAAAGTTAAATGCTTATTGATGCTCTCCGGCAAGTATACCGATCGCACAAGTAATATAGAAAGTAAGTAGAGTATCGTCTCCACAGGGATTGTAAACCAAGTACTACAATAACCAGTCCCCTTAAGTTGAAAAACTCGGTTTGTTGTTTGGAAAAATTGCGAAATGATTTTTAGTAACAATAAGGAATAAATGTAAAGACTTGTTTTTATATTTTTTTATTTAAGAGAAATAAAACAATAACAATGAGAATTGATTTTAAAAATATAAAAAGTATTGTAGCTAGAGCGCACTCACCTTTTGATCCCCACTTCTTACTTTGGATTGATTTACAATATTAATTTATAAAATTACTCGGATAAATTATTATCTAAAATAATTAGTTAAATCTCAATCCTTTGGC